GCAGGGTGTTTCATTAGCTGCCTTTTAATCAGCATTTATAATCAATGAGCTGAAAGCAGAGCATTGCGTACAAACATAAGGTCTTTGTTTTGTTTAATCTGAAGGAGCTGAGTGGTCAATAAACACTCCACCTATGGCTTCCTTTTGCCCTTACCCAAGCAAACTGCTTACAGCCTTTTTATCCTTCACCGGTGTACAATAGATATAGTATGCTCTAACCTCAAAACTGTATTTTTCTCAAATGCACAGCTTATTTAGAGGTCTTTTTAACATGGGAAAATGCCATATTGTTTTGTAAGGTGAGTTTTTTTTACACAGTAGCAGGCGTAGATTGGGTTGTGCTGGAAACTGCTGCAAGAATAAATGTGTGAAAGCTTTGTATTTCCGAGATGTACAGGTGACTAGTGATCCTTTTTAAGTGCAAATTCATGACAAATCCTTTAATCAGATACAGTATCTTTTAGCCAGATCATCCTGAGATTGCGTTTACCTCTGTACATGCTCTTTTAGCCAGGAGCAGCACAGATTGATGGCGGAACACTGTAGACAATCGTTAGAATGGACTTTTTTTGGCAGCAGCTGAGTGCATTGAAAAGTAATAAAGATTTTCGATTAAAAAGAAATTCCACCCTCTACCTGGGAGTTCTTCGGACCCCTGAAGGCTTAGGGGATTACTGCCAGTTTAATATATTCCCCCAGTATTCGTGAGCCTCCCCCAGCAACTTCTGAGGATGAAATTTTGATTTGTACGGGCGCAGTGAATTTTGCATTCTTGGAAGAAATGGAAATGATCACGAGAGATTTTGTATGCATTAAGCTGGCACCATGGCGACACCTGAAAGAGATGCTCAATAAGAGAGGATAGAAAACAGGTGTGTATGCAGCACATATCATAGTTGGGTTTTAAAACCCAGAGCTCCGGTGCGTTTTGATACTCAAGGCTCATCTCTTTGTTTCCCATGTGGCTCCATTTACTGGGACTATCACATCGTAAACACTGTTTGATCTCTGACATCAGTGAATGTCAGGCCTCCCACATCTCTTGGTTTCATACTGCTTCTTATGAGAAGCGATGAATTTGAACTATCTACAGTACGCTGCAATGCGCAAGGTCTGATGTGCATATATATTGCTTTATATCGGCTTGTTTCTAGATTGGGACATTTGCATGCTGCACAGTCATGGGGCTTTGGGGAGTCATCTTTCTCTCTCCGGGTCTATCAGCATCTGCTTTGCAGCAGTACTCCGCCATTTTATTCTGCATAATGTGCATAGAAAGAGGACAATTAAAAGTTAATATCACTGGATCTGTGGCTAATAGACCGGCATAGAAGACTACCTGTTCATTAATGAGGAGTTAACGTTTCAGTGAATTGATTTATACTTTGCTTATGAATTCATCTTTCAACATAAATTACAAGTGTGCAAGTAAATTCTGTTGCAGTGATGAACTCGTGATACGAGATGAAATATCTAAAATCTTCTTTAATGCATCTTTCAAGGCCAGACTGAAAGATAGTTATCGATAAATACCGATATTTAATCATCAAAAGATTGAGATGTACAGTACAGTGAAACCTCGGTATTCACGAGGGTTGGGTGACTCGAATTTCCCGTAAATGTGAAATTGAATACCTTGTGGGGAAATAGGGTATGGTTCCACAGCTCCTGAAACAAGCATTTCCAGGGTAATATTTTAGTCATAACTTGACTATCAATAGTGTTCTTGATAATTGGTAGTATTTTTAATTAAAATGAGTACTGGAAACGTAAAAAAAAACGTATTGCATGTGCAAACAAATCAGATCACCAAATCACTGTAATGATATTACAGATTCCCCTGTGTTAGTTGTTTGTTGTTGCTTTTCTTTACTTTTTCCTTTTTTTTTTGTCATTATTATGAACTGGTGTACCGTAAGAAAGTTTGTAGCAGCACAGTTATCACAGATAAGCGTACGCACTCCTGCTCCTGAGAGGTGTTTCACGTATTTCATGTATTGCTCCTGCGATGTTTCTTTCCTATAATTTTTCTTACCCTTTTCCGCAAAACACGCGAGAACTGAGACTGTGACAACTTAGGGGACCACGGCTGTTGTTGTTGTTGTTGTTGTTGTTGTTGTTGTTGTTGTTGTTGTTTAATTTAATGTTTATTTTATTGCCGAGCATAACATTGAGACACATACACATACATACATTACTCTGCTAACGGGTCGTCTTAACCGAGCTGAGCCCGACTGCGGTTCTAGGGCAGTGGATCTGCAGGATGAAGGCGCGCACGTCCTGTACCTGTAGGTGCCCTCCGTTTACTCTCCTACTGCGCAGTTCCCAAATAAGTGCATTTGGTCCACGTGTGCGGAAAAAGCGGATTTCGCGAGAGTGGACAAAATTGGCAATGCAGGACCTGAGCGCATCGAGGTTTTAACGTACACAAATGTGTCAAGTCTCCGTATACGTCTTGGATTCCACAAGCTAGGTATATTTACTCGGCAGCTGTGACTTTACTAACACCCTTGCAGGTAATGCAGGTGTAGCCTGGGTGGACACGCCGGTGAATCCACCTTCAGGGTGATCTGCTGTGATTACACGTGCAAATAGGGATATTTTGTTCTGTGCCAGGGGTTGTGTGTGGTCAAAGTGAGAGCATTTCTCTGATATTTTAGATCTTAGAGCTCAGTGCTCTTTGAATGAGAAAGCGTTAAAATCAAACATTGGGGGCAATTGGCAACACTTGTATCAAGCTGCCTAAGATTTGACTCAAATGCCTCTTTTACAGTTTAGCTAAGAAATGTTAAACTTATGCAAGATCCCATATTAAATAAAGACAAGTACCCTGTAGTAATCCATTATGTAACCAGAAATAAATATCTAGTACCATATGGAGTTTATCACAGTGTTTTAGTCACATTTAAACCATTTATATCAGTAGTGCTTGCTGAAGGCTTACATAACTGAGATCCATGAGGCTGTCTCTGTCTTCTGCAGGGAGAAAATTGCTCTCATTGTGTAGTGTCGAGTACACAAGGGATAATGATGCTTCATAGGGGTATACTTGAGCAAATGTTTCTTAGAAAATAATCAACATGTTTTACAATAAGATAACTTATCCTTTAAACCAAGCACCTGTTTATAATATGTGCAAAAACATGCTGTGATAATAGTCCGTCTAGTTTTGTGTATGTGAAGAGCATCTTTATAGTTATTTTTATTGCAAATATTGGATATTTCTCTGACATCTGGAAAGTGAGATTTTGCCAATAAGCCTGAGAAAGTGGAAATACACAGCAATTCTGAATATTCTGTTTTGTTGAAATTACCTTTTAAAAAATTTTACTTTTGAAAGCGTATGTTATGATGCCTCAAAGAGCACCTGGAGTACCTGCAGTTCAGTTCCAGTTCAGACTTATTCTATCACACTTAATTATCTACATTTAAGAAAGGAGTTTGCAGTTAAAACAAATGTGTGGTATTATGTTGTAAAACAACACAGCCATATCACAATATTTGCCATCTTTAATTTATGTCCATTATTTGTGTGCTTCAAAGAACTGTAATAAACAAGACACAGTGAGCATGATCAAATTAGGATGTCTTATACAAGAAAATTGGAATAACTGCTGTTTAACTGTTCGAAAGAAAGCTGTGATGTTTCACTCAGGTTTGCCATTTCTGATCTTTAAAGGTTTGCACAGCGTCAGCGATACCGAGATTTTTCATATTGTTTTCGGAAGGTTTTTTTTTTTCCGCGACAGCCCATGTGGAATCCAAACACCTTGTCAAGTCCTCTCCTCCGACTTTTTTGTGCACAAGCAGACAAAGTTGGGTTTTTTTCCACTTTGTCTGCCTCTGTCACCCACAAATTATTAGGCCTGAAACCTGTGAAGCCGCATTTTTCTTTGGTATCGGTATGTTTGTCACAGCATGTACAGTATCTAAAGCTTCTGCAAATGAATCTGAAAACCGGGTTCTGTATTGTGTCACCTTCCACAACAGCACGTCTGTCCACACTAGTGACTCAGTCAGTATGCCAGTAATTCAGACATCACTCATTGAGGTCTGTGCCAGGAGTGGGCCAGTTCTCATCCTGGAGAGCTACAGTAAAGGATGACTTGCGGACTGTGTTTAAGTTATCAGCTGGTAAAGACTTGGAAAATGCGAGTTTTGATTAATTTAAGAAGTTAATTGGTTCAGTTAAGTAATTGTCCACTGTGCCCCATGGGAGCTCCAGAGGGTTAAGATTTTTATTTCTAGTGATCTCCAAAATTTCATTTGACTGATGAAAGCGAATTCCCCTGCCTGCTCTGCTGTGTGGCGGGGCTGATGACACAGAAAGGTTTAGAGGTGAATGAAGGGGAGCCCCTTTGTGAGTAAAATGCTTTTGGGAAGAAGTGTGCCTTATGCTGTAAATGTAAGGAATTGTTATTGTAAACAACTTCATTGAAAATACAGCTACTGAGAGAAATTGTTTGCTGGATGACGTGACCGAGTTTGGCCTCCCCTTCATTTATATGATCAATTCACTTTTCCTGGCATTTCCTTTGTGTCAGTGCACCAACTGGGGGGGTTGTGCACCATCACAGCTGGGGAAGGCAGCCAGCGTAACCTTGGTGTTCTGTGCTGCT